AAGATGGAAAAAATGAAGATGCCCCAAAACCCCAAAACCCCGCAAGGTATCAATTTACTTTCAATAACTGAATGAATAAGTGATAAATTCTAAGCTAAGAAAAAAGTTAGTGTGATTAAAATATAATACACTATATGCGAAAATAAAATCTTAGCTTTCATATTATGAAAATGTGGGTAGCAATTATTTCGGATCAAATAATTTAAGATTCAGTCTAGATTATATCAGAATCTTTTTTCTCTCATAGCTGCATCTCTCCATGATTAACTGTATTCATCGATTCTAGACATGAACTCATCTTGAAAATCTTAAATTCCTTTTTAATTCTTTAAGCCTGCTAGGTTTAATCCTAGTCCCATAGGTTTAGCTTGAGGTGCACCACTTATATCTTAAGGTTTTTGGTTGAATTGATAATCTTAGCTTGATTCCTACTGTTCTTACTCTTGGATTTTTTATTGCTTTTACTAATTAATGCTAGAAAGATCAATTTAAAATTTAGGCATTCCTATTTTCATTCCACCTCCTGCGGAAGGACGAGGTAGCACCTATTATTATGATTAGTAATTTTACTAATGCTAAGATTATGAGAGGGAATCAAAAGATTTATCTATTGTCTTAATTTGTGATGGTAAATGCTATTTAGGAGAATTAGATGCATTTTCCTTTTATACTTATAATTTATTCAGGTTCAACATTGGAATTATTGGCTTTTAAATTGGACTTTTATCTTGCTAGATCACTTTCTATTATTCATTTATATATGCGACCTCTGGATCGACTTCATCATAGTCAGACTAGCTCGAGTCATCAATAATCTGATGAATTTTGCTATTCTATTATTCTATAATTTGATGCTTTCCAGAATTGAGTTTCGGATGAGCATTTATTTAAGAAATTTTAAAATTTTAATTTTGCTATTACTACTAGTGCTAATAATTTTATTGGGATTAAGACTGAATTGTCTTTTAATTCATTATGAGTTGGAACTTCAAGTCTTGTCTTAATTAATCAATTTATTTTTACTATTCTTGAATAATTTTTTCTAAGTCTCTCTATTTATTTTTTTACATCCTGTTTTCCTCTATAACTTTATTAAGCTCTTCTGCGAGTTGATTATTCTATTTGAATTATTGATTAAGTTTTAGAAGATTAGACTGATATGACTGTTCTGATTCTCCCAACTGCTTTTGCATTTTAATGTTCTTATCTTCTAAGTTCTAATTATTCATACTTAGCTAGTTATTCTCGGACGATAGAATTTCAGTTTAAATATTCAATTCTTCGCTTAGCCTGCTTATGAGACTTTCATATCCATCTTTTAGCTTTTATAAAGTTGTTCCTACTATAGGATGGGAAGTATTGATAATCTATGAAAAACCCTCATGCAAAATACTCATAAAAGCTCTTTGATCAATAGGATCATGATTAGAATCATTGTATCTTGAATCATCTTAATAGTCCTATGAAGAAACGTTCATCTCTTTATCCAAGAAGTTTCTAACGGATTAAACCACTTTTATTTCAAAAATACTTTAGTTATTTTGCTACATGCTTGAGTATTAAGTTGACGAGGGCATAAGCTTGTCCAAATTTTCATTACTGTAAGCATCAATTTACTTAAGAAAGTCTTTCATTTTTAGAGTTTATCTATCCCGTGAAATATCAATCTAGTTGGTATTATCAAAGTTTGTTATCAGCTTAGGAGGTGGATAGTTTTATTGAACGGAATTCTTCTTTGTAGAAACATGTATTTTACTTTTGATTTTAGTCTTTTTATTAGTACTCGTACTGTTATTCAGGTTAATATTTGCATTTTGGAAAAATTCAAATGCATTTAAATGGCTTCCGTAATTTGCACTTTGATTAACAGAAATATTATTGAGTCTGTTGTTCATTCTAGAAGCACTGCAGTTTAGATTGTTGCTTGCCTATCTATTATTTTATGTTTATTATGGCTGATAATTTCCCATTGATGTATATAAATTTCTCTTTTTTCTATTTGTAGTTTTGGACCTTCCGCCTGTTCCTGATTAAGTGCTTTGTCCTTACGATTTACTCACGTGTGCACTATTCCTATGCTGATTAGATTAATGAAAATTGTTGTATGCTACTGCTTCCTGCATGTATTTTCCTATAGATGATCTTGATTTTAATTACTATGGTGAGCTGGTGCCACTTGCAACTTTCATAAAATGATGACTTTATGTTTTCTTTAAATTTTCAAGATTAATCGTGCTAGAGTTTGGAGAAACAGCTTGTTCTAATGTTTTACAATACTCCTCTTCAAGCTTTTTTAGAGAAATTTTCTTTTACTATGAAACACTTAGGTTGTCGAAGTTCGATGCAAATACTTGATTCGGAGCATAGAAGTTTATGTTCAGGTATTACTAGGGTAGTTTCTCTATTTGACTATTATTTTAGCTTGACTTCATTCATTTAGAATTCATATTTTTGTTTGGCTTATTTTGTATATTTTGACTGACAACACTTTTGCCAGAAACTTAATTATACAAACTTATCCCAAGATTGGACTTTTCAGTTAGACCACTAACATTCAATGGAACTGTTGCTTTCAACATAATTAACTTTCTATATTATTATATTTCAAAAAATTATTAAATATTTCTAATATTTGTGCTAAATATTGAACTATGGGGTTTTGGGGTTTTGGGGTTTTGGGG